TTTCCCTGTAGAAATATTTATGAATGCTAGAGAGAGAGCTGATTCATGTATGATCTTGGCTGTTCTTTCTGTTCACATGCTAGGGTTGGGAGAAGGCGCCTTGAATTCAGCTTCGATTGACTCGGGATTCTTCCAGTAAAAGGCCATCCAGGCTGTCTTTTCTCAGGAAGGAGTTTCATCTTCGTCAATGGTGAGTCGGACACCACTACAGTCCCTGCTGCTGAGGGCCACTCCACCTCACAGAAGAGTTCACACTGACTGGAGACAGCTTCACGTTTTGTGAGGCTCGTTCTCAAGTTGAAACCCCACAAATCTCAACCTGGTTCCACGTCTTCTTTTGAGTACTGACGGCAACTTTGATCTTTATCCTTATTTTTTCCATGTTCACAGTAATTACCAATGCCTTCAGTGACTGTGAATATAGCTTTCAGTTATCAATAAAGATATATCAATCAGATATTAATCAAGACAAATTAACATTTACTTAAAAGCATTTCTTCAGTAGCATGCAAAGAAGATGGCTGGAGGCTCATTTCTCTCTCATTTATTAGCAGCTGTACTTGACACAGTTGAAGGTCCTAGAGTCCAAACGGCATCTGTCCTAGCCCCTCTCTCTCTCTCTCTCTCTCTCTCTCTCTCTCTCTCTCTCTCTTTCTCACACACACACACACACACACACACACAACAAAGTGAGTCAAAGAACCTCATCATCCTGACCACAGTGCCTAAAAAAGACACAAGCATCACCCTGAAATTAACCTGAGTTCATCTCTCTAAGATTACAAATGGGAGCACAGTGAAGGCCTGCTTCCCTGTTTCCCTCTGCAGTACTGAGACATGAAAGTCATCTTCCCGTCTCATGTGCTAAGGTCCCTTCTAGAACAGACAGGCACAGGAATGTGGGGAGAAGGAGCCCATGTCTCCAGTCTTAGCTGAAACCGCCTCCACTCTCCTGCTCTGTTGTATACTTACGTAAGTCAGCAGGCCCCACTAGAAGTAGGTTTATATCACTAGCAGCACAGAGTCCTGTGTAGTACCAAATCCACAGGAAATCAGCCATCCCAATAGGATCAATGGAACGTGAGTCAAAATGGGAAAAAAAAATCCCCTCCTCATCCTACAGAAGGCTATGCAAGAGTATCTTCTAGCATTGTGTGAGAAAGACGATGATACCCGCTCACCCAGGTTAAAGCTACCTTTCCTAACAGGCCGGCTCACACAAGATCAGCCCTGTTCAAAACGCGTTCCCATTAATATCAGAGCACCTGACATACTAGAGGTAGGTAATTAAGACACTTGTCACCATGATATATAATCAGAGAAGTCACAGAAGTTAGGACATGGAATACAATGGCCACACAAAGATATGAATTCCCAAGGGAAGCATCAGTAACATCATCTCACCTTTTTATTTTATTTTATTTTTTTGGTTTTTCGAGACAGGATTTCTCTGTGGCTTTGGAGCCTGTCCTGGAACTAGCTCTGTAGACCAGGCTGGTCTCGAACTCACAGAGATCCGCCTGCCTCTGCCTCCCGAGTGCTGGGATTAAAGGCGTGCGCCACCATCGCCCAGCTCACCTTTTTAGTGTTAGCATGTTCATCAAAATTGTGGAGATTAGTTTTCTCTTCAGTGGTTTTTATCTTTTTTATTTTACTATAAAATATTATGATTCCATCCGCACTCAATATTGGTAAAAAGAATTTCCCTAAAGATTGGGTTATAGAAAGTGGAGAAAACATAAAATAAAGGGACCCAGGCTGGGGAGAAGGCTCAGTGGCAAAGGGTTCACCACATAAGCATGAGGGCTTCGTTCAGAACCCAAACACCATGGCTGTAGTTCCAGTTTTCCCGGGGTAAGATGGAAGGCAGAGACAGGAGAGTCTTCAATAACTCACAGCCTCTTTAGCCTGGTATAAACATCTGCTATCAAGATACGGGCCTCAAGCAAGGTGGAGGACAAGGACACGTGAGGTTGTCCTCTGACCTCCCCAAGCGCTCCAAGGCATGCATATGCCCAAATGCTTAGCCCCCCCCAACAACTAGCGCCCCCTCTCTCTCTCTCTCTCAATTTTTTAAAGAACACAGAGAAGACAGTGAGATAGGACGACCTACTGAGAAACTAGTGAGAGGAAAAAAACACCACACACAAAAGAAGGAATCCTTGGAAAATGGTTATTAAAATAGTGATATAGACAAGTCATTTTTCTGTTGGTTTCCAATCTCATCTCAACCACTGTCTGTAGTCAAAGTTCACCTTTGTGATATCGCGAGGTCGTGCCCCTTCCTGAGCCTCCGAAATCCGTATGAAGCATCCTTCAATTCCCCCATGTTCTCTCGGGGTTGGCTTTCTCTCTTCTGTCTCTAGCCCGAGTGTCCCTCCTCTCTCACTATCCACTTACCACACACACAGCTATTGAATATTAAGTATTATATACCAGCATGTTGTACTCTGTATATATACTATGCAAAGCATGTTCCATTGATTAGCTCATTTAGTTCTCAAAACACCTATATGGAGCATCCTAATTTTGTTTACATTATAAAGTGGGGAGAATGTGAGACTCGGGCTCTGAAAAGAGTAATTTACTCTTAGTACACACATCATTCAAGATCCATGTTCTTCAAGCTCCAGAGTCTTGCATTTACCAATTATGTGATCTACAAGGGCATTGATCCTTAAGAGAAATGGGAGGAGCTGCCAACAGGGGACCAGGAGCAGAGAGCCTAGGGAAATAAAACCAACAGGAGCGCCTTCTCAATTTTGCTTAGAGTCAGCCCTATTTGAAGTAGAACCTTGTTCCCATTATGCGCCAATAGATTATCTGCCATTTTGCATTGTGGAAATGTAGCCTCCATTATCCAGGCTGATCTTGTTGACTGTAGAATGCTGTACACAGGCATTACAATGACAGACAACTAATTCAGTCTTCTCTGCTAGCAAGATGCTACTATTAACGTCTCTTCAATTCCTCCCCTATAGCTTTTGATGCAGGGCCCTTCACATATATCACAGATATTCCTTCCTACAGTAGCTATGGAGAAAAGAGACTCACTGGGGAGAAGGAGAGGGAGGGGGGAAGAAATAAGAAGGTTCTACAATGCAACATAAAATATCACATTAAAAAATTAGAGAAAAACAAATTGGTACAACATAATTGATCATCTGATAACTTCTGGTGCAAAAAGAAATGAATGTTTTTGATCCATTGCTAATCTGAGAATGTCATTTGCTTTTGATAGAAAGCATATGTTTACACGGTCAAGGTGGAATTTTCCTGCAGGGAAGTAGAGACATGGGGTGCATCTCCTCTAGAAGGGAAGACCTCACAACGTGTGGCCTGCGTGGATCACTAACAGCAGGACCGTCTCTTTACTCAGTGAAACCCAGTGACTTCGTATTTCTCATCTTCACGGATCTATCCACCAGGATGTTGTTTTGTTTTTAAATACTAACACTCACTGAAAGTCACCAGAGGATTTGATGTGATCATAAAAGACTCAGTTTTACTGGAATGGAAGCAACGAAACCGGCTCACAAACTCTTTGGGACCAACCGGGAATCTGTATTATCTAAACTAAAAGGGCACACCGCGGAATGACGCGGAGCAGAGACAATCTCACTGAAGTAACTGTGCTCTGCGGTAGGAAGAGCAAATGTAATACTTTAAAAGTTTTAAGCTAAAACACAATGGCAGGCTCTAAAATAATGCACTATTAAAATATTTACAGGTGCAAAGTCCTTCAGACAAACTACAAGGAGAGGGCCACCGTCAAACAAAAAGGAACATCAAGGACAGTATTTAATAAACTGCAAGAGTAAAATTAAAAAATAAATACCATGATGCAAGAACACTCATTCTGGGGAAAAATGAAGTGGAATTAGATGCTTCAGTAGTGGCAAATTTCAAAATCTGGGTAGCTTCCTGTAAATGAAGCTTTCCCATAATGTCAAATGCAAAAAGCTATCTGAGAGCCACACATCTAGCTGAGTGTTTCATTTCCTGCTTCCTTACACCAAATTGTTTGAAACCTTTGAGATTCAAAACTTCAATAAGCCAGTGTTCTGAACTTGCAGTATTTTATTCCCTTGAGCACGTCAGACAAATGTCCAGACAGCACTGGGCAGAAGAGCAGCTGACCATATTCTTAACCCTGGGCATTGCTCAAAGGGTGGCAGCTAAGCTTGCAAACTTTCCCAACCCTCAGCTGCCTTCCTGTGCTAGCGGCTAGCATTCCCTCTTGACAGCAAAGGGCTCAGTCTTTGTATCCACTGGGCACACGCCCAGGCACACAGTAGGCATTTAACAAAGAATGGTGGGATGAGCTGTTGGAACGGCTTAAGGGGAAGAGTAGAAATCTTGCTCAGAACAGCATGAGCCCAAATCCTGGCACTGCCCAGCAACAAAGACCATCTCCAGAATTAGGGTTATCACAGCGGAGCGCATATTTGCACGTGTATCTCCAAAACGGCATCATAAGAGATTGTTTTCTGAGCTGGCAAGCAGCCACCACGAGCCACTTATGAGGGGATTGTATACTCCAGCTTCCCCATTCCTGAAAAACTCATGCTTTGTGTCTGCCCTCCCTGCTCGCCTTTGCTTCGGGTTTCCACCATATAATTTAAGTTCACAATTCGACCTCGCTGGTCCAACCCGGACCTTGGACACCCTGGCTATTCCATAGCTATTCTGGGATGCCCGCTCCACATCACATCAGAGTGCTAGGCACTGGGCAAAACGCACACCGGGATGGCTCTGGACACGTCTGAAGGTGACAGAGGATGGCAAGAAGCAATGGAGCATGGGGAAGGAACCAGCTCAAGATCCCTGCGGTATCCAGGCGTCTTTACCCTTCACCCAAATCCTCTGTCCCACTCTCTGGAAACCGCTGCCAAACAGCAAAGGAAACAAACAGCAAAGGGACTGGCGGGTTCGGGACTGGGGGCGGGGAAGGGGAGTCTCAGGTAATAGACAGCAGCCATATGGGACAAGTACGGTACCTGGTGTGGCTATGGTTGCGGGGACAATCCTTCTTCTCCATGATGGCCGGCACGCAGTTGGTGAGCTCGGTCCAGTCGGCATGCAGCCCGCAGCTCCAGCCGGTGGAGAAGCGGGAGAAGAGCCAGGTCTCCTTCTTTCCCGGCCGGTGGCAGGTGCACTTTTTCTGGCCAGCTTTGCAGCTACAGGGCTGCTCCAGGCGAATATTCTTCACCAGGTGCCGGCCGAACGTGGTGCCCCCGGTCTTCTGGATGTGTAGAAACACTATCACGTCGCGCCCTTTGATGTTGAAGTCCACGAAGCGGGTCAGGTCCTTCAGAGTGAAGTTGAAGCGCGGCACGAACCGGGGCAAGGAGCCGTTTTCGGGCGCCTCGGGATCGGGCTCCTCCTCCTCTTCCTCCTCTTCTTCCCCAGGGTCCCCGGGATCCTCATCCTCATCCTCTGGAGCCGCGACCCCTTGAGGCCCCTCAGGGGGTCCCCGGGGTGGTGGAGGCAGCTGGGGCCGCCGCTCCCACTCATCGGGGGGCGCCTGAGCCCGTCGAGCAGGACTCGGAGCGGCGGGCGGGCGGGCCTCCCCGACACGGGGCTGCTCCCCGAAGTTGGTGCAGGAGCTGGTGCAGGAAGGGGACACGTACTGGTACATGATGACCACGAAGAGGAGAGTGAGCACCGGCGTCAGCAGCCACTTGTTGAACCTTTCATCCATGGTCCCGCTCTCAAGCCGGCAGGTGAGGTGGCGGTGGTGGCGGCGGCAGAGGCGCGATTGGGCGCCTGCTCGGAAGTTTCAGGGACTCCGGGGCGCGGCTCGGAGCCCGCCGCTCCTCCATGCCCCTGCCACCGAAGAGCGCGGCTGGCTGGCTGCCCCGCCGCACTCCGGGGCTTGCGGAGCCGGGGCCTACGAGCGGAGCCGGGAAGACGGGCGCCGGCGGCGGCGTAGGGCTTCTCGCGACTCCCGGGGCGCCTGGCTCGAGCCGGCTCCTCTTGCGCCCGGACGCGGCGCTCTCAGGCGACACGGAACATCCCGCCGCCGGCTGGCAGACGCTCAGGCGCTGGAGCGCGGGGTTCGGGTCCTGGACCTGCCCCGGGCTGCTGCAGGCGGCAGCGAGCACCGGGGCTGCAGGAAGCTCGCCAAGGCGCCGGCCAAGGGCAAAGGCGCGGCCCGGTCCCGCAGCCCCAGCCCTCCGTGTGCACCGCGCCCCGCACCTTCCCCGGCGGGTCCTCGGCTGCCCAGAGCCCGCTGCAAGTTTGCAAAGCCGCCTCACGGCGTCGGCGAGAAAGACGCCTCTGCGGAGCCGCCTCCCGGGCGAATCGCACTACTGCTCCGGGTCTGCCCGCCCAGGCAGGCGCAGGCAACGCGCACACACTCGCTCACGCGGGCTGGCACCGCCACAACCCGCCAGCCGGTGTGACAGGAACCCTGCTACCCGCAGCAAAAAAACCTGCCCTAGGTACGGAGCATGCGCCAAAGCCTTCCTCAACCCCGGAGGAGTTTCCAGGGGAGGAGTCCGCGGCTCTGCGGGGCTCGCGAGGTAGCTGGGGGTGGGAATCCTTTCAGCCTGGAGCCGGGAGATCTGACAAAAAAAAGCGAGAACAGGCCCCACGGAGGGCGTTGTTAGCGATGATCTGATTCCTCTAAATGGCAACACTGGCAGCTTTCTCAGTATGAGAGTGGACGGAAACCTTCTTGGTCTTGTTAGCAGGAATAACACCCCTATGGCAGGAAGTCCCACAGAGACAGGGGTTTCTTGTCCCTCCTCAGCATGAGAATGACTCCAGGCTTCATTTACTGCCTCCCCAAGACATTCAAACTGAGTGTTCAAGTTTGTTCCAATCCTTCCTTAACTATTAACTTAGCAGGTCCAACGCCACAACTTTATTCAACCAGCAACCATTAAACGCCTGCTATGTAAAGGGCACTGTGTCTGGTGCATACTTCATTTCTTCCCCCACGAGGCCAGTCCAGCACGCAGCCACGCAGGTAATAAATGCAGTTTAAGGGTCACCTCCTAAAATTCATTCTGCTACCACCCAGTGAGCTCTTTAACGATAGGGTCTAACCTTTCCCAGTTGAAGCGTAGCACCAACTCTCCTCGCCTCTATTTTACAGTGGAGTCTTCCTCGGTCCCCAGATGTTTTTAAAAGCTTCGGTTTTTTTTTCAGAAGTGTACATTTTGAAATTACCCCAGAATCCAATTACAATTTTCAGATAATGAATGGATACGCCAACTAGTTCACATCATACTAGAGGATCTGACCCACGGTGCCTGGACCTGCTAGAGTGGTTGTGTTGAAATTTGGGGCAATCGGTGTAAATTCCTGGCCTAGGCTAACCGTGGCCCTCCTAGTTACCAGCCAGACATCTCCACCAGGTGTGGTATCCCACACTTTCACAGCAGCGCGCCTTTCTACCTGTCTTATTTCTTCCTGAGCACTGCACTGGCCTCTTTTGCCGTGCCTGCGTGTGCAACCACCTGTTAAAATCCAGATTTCTTTTGGGAATGCTAACACAGCTCATTGGAGGTTTTGTTTTTTATTGTTCTAGACAGCTGGGGTTCTTCCCACCTCTGCTTCCACTCATTTTCAACTTCTAACAATTGCCACCCATACCCTACCATTCTTGATGCTGTGGAGGTCTGCATCCCTAAGAAAGGTATTGGGTAAAATGAGTCGGCTTCTCTACAGCTTTCTGGGCTCTATCTTCTCTCACGCAAGTTTGGAATCCTCTTAATGACACCACACTACTCTCCTTTGTCTTCTAAAGAAGAACACAATAAACTCAGAAAATATTTCCTAAATGCACCAAGTTGGCACAGGGTTTTCTGTTTGTTTTTGCTTTGTTTTTTTTAAGGCTAGGATGATAACACAAGTTCCTGGGTTTCAATTTCCAGAGCTATAATTTTTTTTTGAAAGCTGGAAGGATGTGATGCTCAGTGCTTGTAATCTCGGTGTCTCTGCTAGGGAAGCAGAGACAAGAGATAAACAGATCTCTAGAACTCGGCTGCCCTGCCTGCTTAGCCTCCTCGGCAAGTTCCAGGCCAGTGATAGTCTCTGTCTCAAATAATAACTGGACGATACTTGAGGAGAACATCCCAAGCTGTCCCCTGGCCTCCACATGCACAAACACACAAGAGCACACACACACGGTAATAGTTCACTTCAGGTAAAAGGTCATTATGCCTTTGAATGCTATTTTATTGGAGAAATACCATGTTTTCTAGACTATGGCTTTATTCCTCACAGCTAAGTAGAGTCTTTATACCCAAGTGGGTAATCTCTCATTTCAGCGATGAGGAAACTGAACCAAGAAAAGTCAGGCAAAAGTAAAGTCAAAATTAGAAGCTTGTAATACCCTGAAATCCATGCAAATCTCCAGTGAAGAAACCCATGGATCATCAACAACACAGCTCGTAATGCTCATAATTTCCTCTTGAGACCCTCTGAGGAAGGAGGCAGGAAGAGACAACAAAATTGCTACAGAACAATTAAGTTATTTTCCCTCTCCCCATGGCACGCTAGGCAAAACAGAGCAATTTCCTACCCTGCAATGTTATGGTGTCTAGTTATAGCTTCCAGATAAACAAGGGAAAGACGGTGCCAATCATAAATCGATGGTGTTGTTATTAAAGCAGGACATGTGTGAAAATTTCAGAAGAAAGCACTGGAAAACGTAACAGCTGTGTGGCTGGTCACGTGTGTGTCCATGAGTGTGTATGCCCTCATAAGTGTTCAACAGCTGTGTGGCTGGTAACGTGTGTGTCCATGAGTGTGTATGCCCTCATAAGTGTTCAACAGCTGTGTGGCTGGTCACGCGTGTGTCCATGAGTACGTATGCCCTCATAAGAGTGTTCAACAGCTGTGTGGCTGGTCACGCGTGTGTCCGTATGTATGCCCTCATAACTGTGTGCACAAACATTATAATCCTCCAAAACCTTTTTGGTTGTTGTTTTTGCTTTCACTAGAATAACTGATGGGGTGCCACCACTTCTTTGAGGTACCTGGAAGAAAAACAATACATAGACTCAGGACAATTGCAGAGATAATTCAGGTGTGTGCTCAGGAATCCGTTTCCAACAATAGGTAACTGTGGTTGGGTAAACACCCTTTCTGTCCCAGGTGTGATCTCTCTAGTGCCACAGTAGAAATCGTTGTGAACCCAATCGAAGCTCTTAAATCATGCAATAAACAGGCTTCCTTATCTACGAGGGCAGACGCCAAATTCTGGAGAAAATGAATTGAAACTTTCTAAAGCTGAATGCTCTTCAGGTGAAAGGAAAAACATATTTGCGCTCGGCCTTCTATAGCTACTCCAGGATGATACCAGCTGGCAATTGTTCCTGGCTAACAGATTGCAGCTACTATGATTCCTACATAAATTATTAAAATAATAAAAATAATGTTTTCAAAAAGCTTCCTTCCACTTCCGCTGCCAGTCTAGCAATAAGCCTAACACTTGGCTGTCTGTGAGGCAATTTGTTCACCTAATTTTCTGCCTTAATAAGCTTCACTACCATTCCCTTCCTGCCGGATTCTTTGTCTATGTTGACTTTATCTTTTCTTCCTCCGTTCTTCCCAGTACTCTCAAACCTGTTACCAGTATCGCACTGCCCCTGCCCCCGGATTCACACTTTTGATTAGAACAGTTCTCATTTAATCAAGTTCAGTTGGGAGATAAAATTGCATCTCAGCGTCTTCCTTTTCCCATTGGTACAAGAAGCTGCCTTTGAGAGTGGCGAGGACACCCTGGAGGAATTCGAGAACCAAATAATCCCAGAGAACAGCATTGGATCCCCTGTGTTTGCACACGGCAATGCAGAGGTGAGCATCCCCTTCAAAGCAGATGAAAAACAAAATAGATCGCATCTCTGATTGGCTGTATGAATCTCTCTTTCAAGAGCGAGTCCAGGATGGAGAGATGGCTCAGTAGTTCAGAGGACTGATTGTTCTTCCAGGAGAACTGGGTTTGATTTCCAGCAACATAGGATGTCTGCAACAGTCCCAGGAAATCTAACACTCTCTTCTGTCCTCTTCAGGCACCAAAGACACAACAGTCCACAACAGTACATTTCAGAACAGTCTATACACCTATACACATACAACTTTAAAAATGAAATAAAGAATAAAAAGTGTTCTTATCTACTGAAGTGATTTTTGTTCTTGGCGTTGTAGGCAGGTACTGCCCCGAGTTCGTTGGTTACACAGTTTGCAGAGAACACTAACCTCTTCCTCGGGAAGTTCTTAGAAGCCATTGTAGAGTCAATGCCAATCACAGACAGAATGGTGACCGAGACTGACATACTCTCGTTCCCTACACCACTGTGACTTGGAAGCCACTGTGTCCCTCAGTATTACATTTCAGAATTCCTATGCATGTGCATAGCTGATTTTTTTTTTTTGGCTTTGTTGTATAACCTTACTCACCCACCATAGACAGCATAGACAGCGCCTGTCAGGGAAGCATGGGAACCGCTATCTGTATGCATTAGAGATGTTCGTTAAGTCAGTAGAATGTAAGCAACGCACTACTGTTTTCCTAGTGGATGTGCAGTATGGCTTCAACAAGGATTTGTTGAGCATTCACCAGATTGCTTTGGAGGCTTGAGCTACACCATGGAACAAGACCAATCAAGACCTGCTTTCATGAATCCTACATTCCAACAGAGAGGGGAAGGGATGAAGAAATAGACATAATTATTTCACTTAATCTAAAACATAATGAAATGTATATATAATACATAAAGTGCAAGGCACACTTAGTTACATGGCTTATACGGTGTTTCATGCTGGCGCACCGGCAGACATGGGTGCCAGAGAAGGAGCCAA